TAGAATTATGTCTTATTTGCTTAGTAGTAGCTTCTACCACGCGTTCCAAGAAGTGATTCTAGAAATATATATTAAAATTAATTTGCCTCAGGTATGTGTTTTCAAGATTTTAGAACTTTGTACAAAAAATATTCATTAAGAGAGTTCATAGAAAATTAATTTTAATTTAAAAAATAAATTTTTATAAAAGGAGTCAGTAAGACATTTAGTAGTTAGTAAAATTTAATTAAAAAAACAAATTTTTAACTGAAACAGTTTTTGGATTTGTTTCAGAAAATGATAGCGACTTATAAAAATAATTTATTTAATATATAATGTCAGTTATTTTTAAATATAATATAATGTAATAAATGTTTTACAATATCAAAAAAGCTTCGGTATGTTAATATTTTTTTTGAATATACTGTATTTTGTGCCTCATGCACTAGATACATAGACAACTAGTACATGAGAAATCAAATAAAAATTACCTTCTTCTAGTCCATTTATCTAATATTCTTTATCCATGATTTGCCGATGGAATTTCTAAGCTTTATAAATTCACTATTCCAGTAAACAGTTTTATGAATTATTTAAGGTGGGCTTATATTATTCTAATCGCTTAAAGTGATTATCATTTGTTAGAAGTATAAGTTAAAGATATTGAAACTACCTTCCTCTAGTTCAGTTTTCACTGATTGGTCATAACTTGGTGTATATTCAATAACCTTTAATAATCATTTTGAAAATAAACATATACAGTACTTACATTTTGTAAACATTCCGAAGCACGTCATCTCATTCCGATAACTGGAATCGATCTATATATTGCTTAGACGAAATTTGATATTGTCTTGAAGAACATATCCTTTTTACCAATAAATATACCACTAAAAATTGATATTATTTAAGCCCATTACTAATATACCATAGACAATAATACTGAAGCAAATAAAATAATTGAAAGAAGGGACCCTAATATACTGTTAAGGTTAATACCGATCATTTCTAAACATGAAAACGGGAGAATTAAAATTCATCATCCAAAACCTTAAAAATAGGAAGGGATTAATGGAGTTTTCAATTGTAGCATGAAAAACCTTTCTCATATCATTATTGATAGAATAATCGGTATTAATAACAATATTCTGAAGTAATGTTTCACAAGAAAGGGTATTAAGAAAGGGAAGGGTACCTCAAGAAAGGGTATTATATATTGTCCAAACCCGGCATATTCCTTACAGACTCTCAGTGAGCTGGATGACAGTGATTGCAAAAAATAACTGAATAATTAATCTTAAGTAGATTAAATGACATGATCAGCAAGAGAGATTTCTTTTCTAAAACAAAGTTCGAATTTCTAGACAATCATTATATGTAACTACAGTTAAAAAGGGGATCCCAAATAATTTTAAAAGCCTTGACCAGAGTGAAATCCACAATATGGTATTATTTGATATCTTCTAATTTCTGGAAAAGGTGTCAGGACTAAGTTTTAAATGATAAAATAATGTGCTTAAAGATTTCGCTACAAATAAAAGTACTGCTAAATAGGTTCTTGCAT